CTGATAAGAGCTGTGCTTGAAAAAGAGCAGTTTCTGTCAGAGCTCTCTCAGCCCCGCCTACCTCACTGGGTGTCTGTTGTGGGGAGGGGAAGGGAAAGGAGTTTGTCAGCCGCTCTGAGACACCTTTGGGTAGTGAAGGGCGGGGTATAAATCCAATCTCCTCCTCCTCCTCCTTCACTACTGTAGTTCTTCTTATTGAAGGGACTGTGCTGGGTGTGTCCCCCCCCCACCCGGCCACGTTCTAAGTCTTTCTGTCTTGCCTTATCCAGCTGAAGTTCAAGTCCCTGAGGTTCGTGATCAACGCGGCCTTGCAGAGGGGCTTCCGCAGCGCCTTCGTCTTCCGGGAAGAAGAGCCCAGCCGGCAGGTGAGGCCTTGGAACAGGTTTGCCTTTCGTACCTTTCCCACCTCCTGGTGGCCCTAAGAAGACACAGCTGAGCTGAGCAAGTCCTAGAATTACCACCAACTGGGGGGTGAGGGGAAGTCCTGTCCCTTCAGTGCATGGAACTGGGCCGGTGAAACTTTTCAAGGCACAGAGCTAAATAAGAGGACAGGACATCTGTTTCCTCCAGGTAGTTGGTAACCCTAACCAAGTTAGGGAGCGCCAGCGTGTTGTAATGGTTCAAGTGTCAGGCTAGGTTCAAATCCCCACTTATACCATGAAAGCTTGCTGGGTGACCTAGGGCCAGTCACACGCTCTCAGCCTAACCTACCTCACAGGGTTGTTGTGAGGATAAAACAGAGGGGAGGAGAATGATGTAAGCCGCCTTGGATCCTCATTGGGGGATAACTCAGGAGGACCCGAAGGGGGTGAGTGTAGTGTGGAGTGGTTTGTGAAGTCAAGGTTGTCTCCTTATAACTTTTCCTCTAGAATGGGCATCCTTCATTCACTCAGGTGCTACAAAGAATCTGGGCACTGTTGGCAGCAAACCATGGCATTCCAATGTTTTCTGTGTTGCCCTCCCAGTTTGGATGTAATCCGATTTGTGGAGATTTTTCGGACTGCATACACCATTGCAGGGATAGCCTGCCCAGTCTAGACAAGTCAAAGCTACTGGGTGCCGCATGCAGCACTCGGTGATACTCTCCCATGAGTGGAAATGCCTTGGTGGTATATTTTAAAATTCAAGGTAGTGATATCCAGGGGTCATTTTGTAGAAAAAGAGGTGCAGGAGCTCATTAGCCTAACTCATTAGCATAACTTATTTGCATATGCCACACACCCCTGACATCACCAGAAGTGTGTCAGAAGGCCACACCCACCGCTCAGGCTCCACTGGACTGTTTTGGATGGCTAGCTATTGGGGGGGGGGACGTGCAGATCTGCCCTCACAGAGGAGGGAGAGCTTGTACCTGAATAAAACTTGGTCTTAAAGGTGCCACTGGACTGTTTTGGACCTGTTGGCTCTGCAACTTACCTGGCTGCTTCTTGCTCTGACTGAGGGCTGCTGGGAGCAGGGGGTGGGGCTTGTTGCATGTGCCCGCCCCCTGGGCTCTTTACTGCCGGAGCTCCGCTCTTGTGCACTCCTGCAGGAAATGACCCGATATACACAACGTGTGCATTGGTGATTTTAAAAAAAAAAGAGCGGTAGAGGCAGAAGGGGTGGAGGACCCAATTCTTCCCAATTCCCCCCTCAGGCTGGCTTGCCAGACTCTGCCGGTGTGGCTCCATAGCCACAGCTTGCAGCTGGTTGCTCTTTAGCTGATCTGCTGGCTGCACCCTCCTCCTGCCTCCAGGCAAAAGAACCCCAGCCTGGGCACCCTCGGATGGCGGGATCCCAGGAGGAAGCGGTTTGCAGGATGGAAGATCAGCAGCCCCTGGGGGAAAGCCCTGGGAGACAACGCAGCTGCTGCTGCTGCTGTGTTATCTTGGGGTGGGGACACTTTGACTGATTTCACACAAGAGCTGTGCCGCGGTCGCGCCTCCCTTTGCCCCGCTTCTACTGGTAAATTCCCCACTCGAAGCCGCGCGGCCGCATTTTGACCCGTGGCTTTGTTTTGCAGATCATGAAACCGCGGGGAAAATTAGGCGAAGCCACGGGTCAAAATGCGGCCATGCGGCTTCAACTGTCTTACCCCCCCCCACCTTCTTTGGGCCCATGGGAGAAACATGCAGGTGCACAGGCTGAAGGTGCACGCGGCGACTCCCTGTGCCGAAGCCAAGCTGTTCTGGGTCTGGCCCATGCCTCCTGGGTGGGAGACCTCCTGGGTGCTGTGCAGAATTCCCCGCACTGCTGAACATGTGTCGCTTGAACAGCCGTGCTTTTTCAACTGCTCACCAAACGTCTCTGGGAACCTGCCCACTCAATCGGCCCCTCGGGAGTGCAACATCATTTCTGGGGTGTGCTTTCTTCCCGGTTGTCCAGAACAACTGGCTCGCGGCCCTCTTTAAGACTGATAAGTAAAACTCCTGGGACTCCGTGTTTTGCAAGACCTGTACGGGAAACGTGGAGACAGCTCTTGCAATCCAGCCTAGCACATGTGGCTTCAACGTGCCAGAGAAGTTCTGCCTTTTCTACATATCTCCCTCGTCTCTGGAGCCAGTTTGGTGTAGTGGTTAAGTGCGTGGACTCTGATCTGGGAGAATCGGGTTTGATTCCCCACTCCTCCACTTGCAGCTGCTGGATGACCTTGGGCGAGCCATAGTTCTGTCAGAGCTGTTCTCTCATGAGCAGTCCTTGAGAGAGCTCTCTCAGCCCCTTCTACCTCACAGGGTGTCTATTGTGGGGAGGGGAAGGGAAAGGAGATTGTAAGCTGCTCCGAGACTCCTTTGGGTAGTGAAGGGCGGGGTATAAATCCAATCTCCTCCTCCTCCTCCTCTTCTTCCCTTCTGAGATTTCTGTAGCTGCCTCCTCTGCCGCCTCCTCTTGCTCTCTGGACCATACACTTTACCAAACCTCCTTCTCAGCATCCCTGTGGCTGCCCGGCCCTTTTCCGGCATCAGCCAGTGGTTGCCAAAATGTAACATTAGGGCGAAGAAGACTGACAGAGGCTTCAATACCTCCCTTGTCCTGAGCAAGTCTCAGACCACACGGATGACGAGAACAGGCGTTGTGCATGTTTCAGCCCGTTGCAGCTCCTCAAGAAATAAACCCAACAAGCGAAAGTGTCGCTAACGTCCAGGTTTCTACCCCCAGCACCTTAAGAGTACATTGCTACAAAAAGGAAGGATAATACAATAAATCTCCCTATATAAATAAAAGGCTGATAGAGACAGTGGTGGCTTTTGAGCAGGCTTCTTGTGGCCGAAATGGAAGAAATTGCTGAATTCATATGCACAGATCCTGCAAAGGGAAAAGTTGTGCCTTTGAGGTTTCAATGACGGATGCAACTTTTCTAGGAAGTCAGCCATCACTGCCATGAAGAGTGGAGCACTAGTGCCCTCTCCTGGTGGTTGTTGTTGTTGTTCAGTCGCATAGTCGAGTCCGACTCTTCGGGACCCCATGGACCACATCATGCCAGGCCTTCCGGTCTTCCGCCGTCCTATGAAGTTTGCTCAGTTTCATGTTCGTTGCATCTATGACACTGTCCAACCATCTCATCCTTTGCCGTCCCCGTCTTCTTTGACCTTCAATCTTTCCCAGCATCAGGGTCTTTTCCAGTGAGGGCTCCCTTCTCACTGGGTGGCCAAAGTATTTGAGCTTCAGTTTCATTATCTGGCCTTCCAGGGAACAGTCAGGGTTGATTACTTTTAGGATTGACTGGTTTGATCTCCTGGCAGTCCGAGGGACTCTCAAGAGTCTTCTCCAGCACCATAATCCGAAAGCAGCTATTCTTCGGTGTTCGGCCTCTCCTGGTAGACGCCAATAACTGTCAGGAGAGAATGTCTGTCTTACACATGCTTCAGAAAGACGTTTTGAGTCCAGGGGCACCTTTAAGACCAACAAAGTTTTATTCGCAGTGTAAGCTTTCGTGGGCTTAAAGGTGCCACTGGACTCAAACTTACTTCTGCTGCTTCAGACCAACACAGCTACCCCACCTGAATTTTTCTACATGCTTCAGAAAATCCTTTCAGAGGGGAGCCCTGCTGGTGTGTCATGGAAGAGCTGGATTCGAGTCTCGTCGCACCTTAGACGCTAACAATATTTTCTTGCTATAAGCTTTCGAGAGTCAAAACAGGGAGCAGTGACTCTCAAAAGCTTATACCCAGAAGATCTTGTTCGTCTCCAAGATCCTACGGGACTTGACTCATGCCTTACAAGAGCTGGGTGTGGGCCAGTGTTTCCCCCAAGCTGAGTTAGTGTGAGCTGGCTCACAGTTTTTTAGCCTCCGGCTCAGTCATTTTTGTCTCAGCTCAGGAAGGATGGGGCTCCAGAGCAAACTAATCTATGCAGTAGCCAAATTGCTTGCTCACAACTTTTTTTTTTGAACTTCTATTTATTGGGTTTTCAAACACAAAAGACAAACAAAAAAGAGACACGATCATCTTTTCCTCACCAAAATATTTCTACATAACCTATCTAATACAGATTAATTATTTTCTTATCTTGATACTATAAATCATCATGTACTTCCAACCAAATATAAACCACAACATTCAATTAATCTACATTAAATAATTTTTTTCAAATGGTACCATTTTCATTAAACAGTCTAATATTTCTGTTCACTCAGTCTACTAAGTAATAAAAGAACCTATTTAACAAACACCTTTAACCAATAAATTAAATCCAAGCCCTTCGAAACATTTTATTTCTGAACCATACCTATTTTCTTTTAATAGTCGCCTAATATCTTCATCTCCTCACATATAATCTATACCTAATTTCGGCTCCTATTTTTTTTTATATTTTATGGGGTTTATTACTTATTTACGTTGCTACTTTCTAGCTTCTACCTTCTAATAATATACCCTTCACCAAATCACGTGTTTAACCTTTATCTGCTCTGAAAACCAGAGGTCATTTCGGGGGGGATCGCGGGGGATCGCAGTTTCCCCGGGTGAGGTACGGGGGCGGGGCACATGACGAAGCCCCGCCCCCCGCTTCCGGCCGCCCCGCTTCCGGCCCTCATTCAGCCAGGCG